GGTCAGGGCGGCTAGGATCTGGAACCAACTTCCAAGAGAAGTGGTGCTGGCTCCTACCCTGGGGGGCTTTAAGAGGAGGTTAGATGAACACCTTGCTGGGGTTGCTTGACCCCAGTACTATTTCCTGCCATGGCAGGGGGTTGGACTCGATCTGCTCAGGTCCCTTCCGACCCGACCAACTATGAAAGAACTGGCCTTTTCAGAATTGATTTAAAAAGCTAGGAACATTGTTATTGATCTTATTTCTGTGCATCTGCGTGTTAGCACTTGCATTTTGATCCAGATACGACCTGACGGCATCCCTTCATGTTTGAGGCCGCATACCCAAACAGGAGCTATTTCTCTCTCATTACTGACAGAATCGCCAAACACTTTGCTGGGGGAGGGCTTATTTGTGGTAGTGTAATCTCCCACTGAGCTGCAATGAGGAAACCGGTACATGCTTCCGGTTGCATATTTTGGCCGTTTTGAATGCAAGGTGAAGGATTTTGCAGAATGATCTCAGGTCTTTGCTCTTTGCCTTCCAGCTCCAGGCTGTGTCCGTATCCTCCAGCCCGCCGTATTTAATGGCTTTCTGTGCATTCATCGCTATGGCAGTAGGCAAATGACACGGATTGAATGTGGCCGGACAATGCTGTCTTTTCTGGTTAATGATCTTAAATCGCCCTCGATAGAAATGGCCTGCCGAGGGCCAGCATTATGTCAGCAAGGTGTAGGTAGGCTCTGTAATGCCGCTAACCACAGGCTCTCCCAAGGAAATTAATTGCACAGCCAGAAACCCTCCAGTGGAAACGCCCAGCGTGCGGTAGCAAAGGCCTGTTCGCAGCAGCGCTCGAGATCTCTGCTTCAGTGCAGCATACCTCGAGCGGTCTCTAAGGAAACCACCCAGGCCCTGCTACCATACGTATGAGAATTAAGCAATACTGTACTGCGCTTTCTTCATCCGCAGCTCCCCAGATGCCTATGGGAGCAGGGAGCAGAGTGGTACTAAGCAGATTAAAACCTATGCTGGGTGGATGGGTGGGATTCCTCTATCCTGGAGTGCGCCTGCCTTTCTAACCCAGCTGTGGGTATCTCATGGAAAAAGTGCGGTCTTTGAAACACAGGATTGGGTGTTGGGGTGTTTCCCCCTTCATTCCCGCTTCTGCTTTTCCTGCGCAAGCTTGGACGGACCGCAGAACCGTCAGCGAGACAGGAACGGCCGAGTCCAGTGAGGTTTAAATCTGCTTGCAAAGCACTTTGCACTGTGCACTCCTTCCAGCCAAGGAGCTGGGAGCATGTGCTGTGGATGTATTGGGTGCTGCGCAGCCAAACGGCTTAGGAAGGGCTGTCCCAAAGCAGGCCCACCCTCCGTTCGCTGCTGGAAGGCAGTGCTGGCTACCTTTCCCCCCCAGCCCATGTTCAAGAGGAAAGCTCATATTGAAGAAACACCAGGCAGCTCAAGCCTTGATAAAACCCACTGCCACTTAAAGGATGCAGTAGTGGGAAGATGCATTCCTCTCCCAGATCCTTAATGAGGGTGCAGTGCTGCTCCATTTCTCTGACCAGCTTTCAGCGCAGGGATCGATAGTCCTTGTTAAGGGTCTAACATTCCCCATCTATCTTCCAATGCAGGCCTCATCTTGCTTTGAGAGCGATGACTGGCCTTAGCCTCCTGCGGGCAGCGAGCTGGCTGCTTTGGGATGGATTGTGCAATGTCTGCTCAGCTACAGGAGGTCTGTCCCTGCCTCTCCACCAGTTACGCCAGCCTCTTCTGCCACTCTGCGCCTCCCCAAACTGACCCACAAAGCTGTTGGCATCCTTTACAACCCTCTTAAGGCTCACTGGTGGAAGTCCTCTCTGCTAAATAGCTGGGCAGAAGGGTGACTGGGCATCACATTGAAGTCAGTGTTTCTGTGATTAAAAACTCCAGTGTGTGTGTATGGATGTATGCACACAGGCACAGATGTGTGCACATGTCTATATTGTGCTGCATGCTAAAGAAGACTTAATGTGGTTGCAATGTCAAGCCCCAAAGCTGGGAATGTGCCAGCATTAAGGTTGGTGCAGCAACCTTTTGTCAGCCCCCTGGCATGATACAACCATGCTTTTTCATCCCCCAAACTCCCATCTTGCTCAGGCTGGATTGCACTGGCTGTAATCCCTGGGTGCAATTCTTGTGTCTGATTGTACAGGGGGAGGTCAGCCTAGATGATTGCAGCAGTTTTTCTTGCCTTAAACCCTAAACAGTTCCCTTATCCTCAGTGCTCAGCATGTGGCTCTAGGCTGTGTTTGCTGCTTGCTAGTCCAACTCCACGCTGAAGACCGCATTATTCATTTTCTCGTGAGTTTTGCTACAGTGCTCATTGCTCGTAGGATCCGAGAGCATCCCAGGTATCGATGGATTCATCTGCCTGGCATCCCTTTCCAACAAAGGTGTTAGTGCTTGTGTTTTGCACTAAAGCACAGCATGCTTAATTTTTGGTGCATGCTTGGTCTTAGGACTTTGCAAGAACTTTGCTAGGCTTTCCCTGAGCTCAGCTGCAGCTCAGCACTTCTGCTTGTTAGACCTCAGAAAAAAGAGGAACATCCCGAGAGCAGCCTGCTTGCGTAAAGCCTGAGCGAAGGGACTTAGCATCGAGGCTGGAACCTACAGTCCTTCGCTAACTGAGCTGAGGGAGGAACTGATGGCAGTAGTAGGTTGTCACCCTTAGCATGGATTGATTGGTTGTCAGTGGGTATCGTTGGTATTTGTTGGCAGTAGAGAACTGATGAGAGTCAAGGAGCTTGAACTCCATTTCTGGCTGTAGAGGCTACAGCTTTCTCTCCACGTTTCTCCCCTCCACCCCCAAATTTTACCCTTTCTGCCCCCTCCCCTTCAAGTTATTGATGACCCCAGACCCATCTCTTCCCCACTGCTCATCCCAGCCCATCAGGCAGACTCTCAACCTGGTCTCCATCCTGCCACTTCTCTGTGCTCAGCCATTCCCAGTCTCCTTCTGTCCCCTGCCCGCTCCCCTCGCTATCCCAACTCCTTGTCTGATCTAATCTCTGTCCCAGCGGCCCCCAGTTGCCCCTTGCCTATGTTTCCCACTTCCAGTCTAACCCCCCACTCCTCGGGTGCAGCTCAGCATCCTCATCTGTCCTTTGCACCCTGACTCTTCATCAGCTCTGCCTCCTCTCCCCCACTGGTCCTCAAGCCCTTGTTTTCCACACTTGATGGAGACACCCAGCATGGAAAACTTCATCCCACACCACTGAGAATCGCCCAGGTATAAGCAGGACCACAGGATCTTATTGCTTGAAGCATTGGGTAGCCTCAATTGCAGACGGTGCTTGACACTATATTCAATGGTCTCTCTGCTTCCTAATTTTCACACGTTTTTTGTCATCTTTCGTGGTAAGGAAGGACCGGGTCTAACTCCACAAAGATCTGGCGCTGGAGGTTTCATCCATAAAACATTTCACTGGAGGAGGGGAGGAAAAACCCCAAACCCCACCTTCTCTCCTTTGCATCGGCAGTACCAGCCTTGTGCAAGAGATCCTGCAACTCCGCTCTTCTCTCCTGTTGGCTTTTGAATGGCATTTTCTTCTTTTTTCTTTCCTGGCCTCTGGCTTGCCTCAGTGTTTTAAATTGGCCATTTGTTTGGTGCGCCTTTCTCTCCAAAGGGCCCGCGTCCACATGGGCTGAGCAGGATTTTGCCGTTAGTGGGGGTTTTCCTGTCCGTGTTCCCTCACAGGATGTGTTTCCTTTTGCAGAAAGCCGGCTGAAAACCCTCCAAGCCACAGGCATACATCTGTTGGGCTCTTTAGACAGATAAGTCCTTCATAAACAGGAAAAGGGGCAAACCCGAGGACACACCGATGGCAAACGGGCTTCGTTTTGGAGCACGAGGGGTCTATGTGACCCCTGGACGCGGCCATGAGAGCTGCTTTGGGGGCCTTAGCTTTAAAAAGTTGAAGGCTGCCCATCCTGGTGTGCATTGTAAGATGCTCTGTATTATAAAGCGGTACTTTTTTGCACTGAATTTTCAAGCAAAATTAAACTGCCCCCCCGAGCCCTGCAGCTGGGAATGATGGTGTTTAACCCTCTTTAATTGTACTTTCTCGAGGCAGATATCCCCTGGTGAAGGAGCACACCTCGATCTCCCCTTCCTGCTCCTTTGATCGCAGGCGCAGCGCTGCTAATGAGTCCCCTCCGGCGAAGACCTCCGTGGCTCTTGGGCAGCACGTTACAGCATCTTTCCTCCAGCGAGAGCGTTGCCCGACTGTTGAAGCCGCTTCTGGCCCAATGGAGAAACAAAGGGCATCTTCACGATGCTCTCTTTCTCGCTCTCGCCCGTTAAGGAATTCAACAAATTAGTCATTCACCAGGGGTCCCCCGTCATTAGCTTGAATTAGCCAGGTCCCGCTCCACTTTGCATATATGATAAAGGGCTGAATCGGGCTATTCAGGCACCAGCCCCAGAGGTGCAAAAAAGGATCCCTTTGGCCAGAGAGTGTAACTTGAGGCTTTTTCTTTTCCCGGTTGTCCTCTCTTTCTGCAACCGAAATCACCCTGGTAAGAGAACCAGGGGCGCTTGGACTGCAGCTGTCATTTTTCTTGTCTGATCGCAGGGGGAAGGGAAGCTTTGCTGCTGTTGGGTATGGAGAAACGAATTGCCTGCTCAGTCTTCCTGGGCTTGCAGCAGGGTGGAGACCTCTTTCTGGGATCAAGCTTAACCCTCTCCTTTTTTTTTTTTTTTAATTTTTCACCTGTTCACTTTCTCTGGTGCACCCAAGGATCCACAGCAGCTGCTTTTCCCTGCCTTGGGCCTGCGCGCTTTCTCCTCTTTTTTGGAAAGCAGCCAGATCAAAATGGCTGTGAACCAAAGCCAAGAATCACTCCCTTTGCTATGGAAATGAGGGCTCCACGAGACTGTTCGGCTTGCGTTCATCATAGACGGTTCCTGTTGAGAACGATGCATTTTGGGTGAAGTGGGGGGAGGGAAGGGAAGGGGAGGCGGGCACTGTGGCAAAGGTGTGCGTTTGAGCCAAACGCGCCTGAACGAAGACATTGGATTCAGCAGTCTGGAGTCCTTTTGCACTGGTGAAACGATGGGTAATTTTTTTAAAACCCCTTTGTCTTGATGAAAAGGAGGGAAATTGGGTGGCATCCTTTCACCATGGGGAGAAGGGAATTTCTTAGCGGGTGGGAGAAGAGCAGGGGGTATCAGGCCAGCGTGCTGGAGAACGGATGCTGTTGGGAGTGAGCAAGTGGAGAAAAGTGGGGTTGCTGCCTGAGCTGTAATGATAACGTCTCTGTTCCCAGGCTCTGAGCGGACACATTGCAGAACTGCACACACAGCATGTGGAGCTGGGGCTGTCCAGGGTTGGGACTGCCTGAGCACAGGCTAGAAACTGGCTTTACCTTGGCTAAAGCTTTTGATTGAAGCTTTGGCAAGCAGCGAGGTTGAAGGGGGCAGGAGGCGGGGCAATTGTGGGCTTGCAAAGTCCTTGTGAAAACGTATCACCTTGCACCACCGACCCGCTCGCCCGTCTCGCCCTGTACGTGAGCCACTTCTGACTCATTGCTGCAGAGATCCTGGGAGGTGTGTCGCCAGGTAGGCTGGAGCAGTGCCAAGCATGAGTGCTTGCTGTTCTGCCTGGATATTGCAACACGCAGTGCCTTCTGAGCACACCCCTCCCCGACTTCGCCCAGCTTGTGGATTTGCTTCATTCTTGGGCATGTTGTTTGTTAGCGGCCTGGCTAGCTGGGAAGCGATTTGGCAGCGGAGAGGAGGAGGCTTCGTCAGCCTTAGAGCAGCTGGTTAGAAAGAATTCCAGGAGCAGGATATGGCTCTGTATTATAGCATTGCCAGGTCATTGTCTTTACGATGCATTTTAACTGAAGCTCAAGCCTCGAGGTGCCCTTGCTCAGGGTGTGTCTTCTGTCCTTTGCATATGGGACGGAGAGGCTAAGTAACTTGGCAGAGGTCACTCTGCTGTTTGGTGGCAATGGTGGGATTGCACCTGGGGTCTCCCGAAGCAGCCCCACACTCAAAGCATTCAGCACGTGCCTCTGAATGGCGGCAGTTGAGTTTTGCAGGGCATTTCTCCCAAGGGTAAGAGCAACATCGTGGTGCACTTCCACCTTGAGTTATTACCGTATTTACCTGAATCTAAGATGACTTCAAATTTAAGATGACCTCTGCCCCCCCCCCATAATTATGTTCTAGACCTGCAAAATTGTTATAATGTTTCATGTCTCAAATCTAATTACTGCAGGGTCATCTTAAATAAGTAGTTGAGTAGTTGTGGTATTTCACCCAAGAGACTAGTCTGGAAGCCTACCAGGTGGAAGTGACTGTGTACCTGGATGTGTGATTATATATTTATAAAAATAAAACCTGAACTGCTCCATTGGGGCTGCTCCGCAGAGTTTAGCGTGACCACTTACATTGCTGCAATAAACTGCGAGCATGAGAAATTATCAGTGTTTGTGGGTGACTTGAGGCTTTCCTGCTAATATGCTAATCTGGGCAGAAGAGAAGTTGCTGCTACCGGCCTTGTGATGGTGTAATGTCAAACTTGTGTCAGGTTTTTATTTTGCAATAGCTTCCTCTTTGCTCTAAATTATGTGCAGTAACAAATGGTTTGTGCATTAATTTTCAGCTGCAGTAATTCCAGTTAGTCATTTTCAGTTTGTAAATCCCAAGAAGAAACACCCAAGGATGCTAATTCTTAGCTTTTTCTCATAGCACTTTTCAGCCCTAGGTTTCCAGTTGCCTGCAAAATTTACAGCTGTTTTCTTTTAAGCTACAGGAGTTCTTAATAAAGCGCCATTTGTGGCACTTCTGTAGCTTAAAAGCAGCTAACTCATTTGGAGAAATGTAGCAGGTCCCTGCCAGAAACGGCCCGTCTCTAATCCTCTTTGTGATAGGTAAGGCCCTTTGTATTGCCTTAAATAATCACTTGGGATTTCTGGCTGAGTAGCAGAGACTCAAGAATAGGCAAACTGCAGCGGAGGCGGTAGGTGGGTTGTGCTCTCGGACAGAGAAAAGACCCTGGGAAGCCGAGCTGTCAGTGTTCCAGGTCATCCCTCGTGTGCTTTCGGGGAGAGGGAAAGCCAAACTATTTGGGCAGCTACACGATGATCTTGGTGGAAGCTGAAATCACAGTAATGAGAATTTTTTTTAAAAGCAACTGTCTAGACCGGATGGCTGAAAAGACTTGGACTGAAATAGAGAGCCGTTTACCTCCAGGTCACTGGCGTGAACTTGGTTCGGGTCATCAGTGGCTGAAAGTCATTACCATCCGACAGCTGCTTGGCCTGCATGAAAGCAGTTGGTGGTCTCTGCTCTGCTCCGAGATGGACAGATGTCCACCTTGCAGACATCGCCAGCCTCATTGGCACATTTCTTATCAGGCTTTGCATAGAAACCCGGGAGCGACTGGGCCCCTCTGATATAGCAGCTTGGGGGAACTGGGGCTGTTGCCTTCCTGTCTTCAAGCTTTGCTGTCCAGGGCTCTGCCCTGCAGCTTTTATACCAATATTACAGGCTCCTTTGAACATCACGTTATGGTCTGTATCCTGTGCAGATTTTAAAACTGGGGGCAAGCTGGCCCTGGGTCTGCTATGCTCGTAGTCTTTAGTGCTTCGGCATTCAACAGAAACGCTAAGGGTGTTGGAATTGTGCAGGAAAGAAATACGCTGTCGAGAATATTTCCTGTTTTCCATGGAAATTGGAGGCGTCTCATTATATAATTGACTGGCTAGTAAAGCTGCAAGACACTTAGCAGACTTTTTTTTTTCTTCCTTTTTTCCAATGGTGTATCTACTGCATGACTGCTTGGCCAGTTCTGATGGGAGCTTTCTTCTGGAAGCATGACTCGTTAACTATTTAGCACACAGACGTGACAAAGTAGGTCCTTTTTAAACCTACCTGGAGGTGCGTTTGCACACAGGTGCGTGACAGCGAGTCTTGCATCTTTTCTGATTGCAGAGAGGTTGTGTGCACACGTACGTTGGCACATGCCAAACCTCTCTGGGGTGTGCAAAGCTTTTCAGACCTTCACTTCCCTTTCAAAAGATCAGAGCCCAGGTGAATTTCCCTGTCCTTTTTGCTGAGTTAGGAACATATGGGCTGGCAAGCTTATGGCCGGACCCTTAATTTCTGTTGTTGCAGAGGTGGGACACTTCAGAAGCTACATGGAGGCCCTGCCTTCCCTGTGAAGGCACAAACTATGATAGAGAAAATACACAGTGGGGGAAATCCTTTGCTGTTTTCAGATGAAGGGTCCAGAAGTTGCAAATGCAGAAAAATAAGACAGTCTCCCTTTTCCCTTGAGAGCTGACCGTTCTTGGAATTTTTGCCTTCCCGGCGGGGGGTGGGGAGCTGGATTTTTCCATGGCAGTCGACTTCCCTCTGAAGTCGACTGACACGGGACCCAGGTCCTGCTGAAAAAGTATTTTCTCAAGAGGAGGAGCAATGCAGATGCACTCAGAGACAGCTTGAGCCAGTAGCTTGTTTCCATTACCCCTCCCTGCTTAGGAAGCTAATTTTATTATTTTTAATGAGATTTTGGAGGCCGACTAAAGAACGGGAAGCTAGCTAGCATGCAGAACCACTTCACAGGAATACCACTTTCTCAGAGCTCACAGTTGAGCAACAGCTTCTGGACCCTGTCTGACTTGAAAGCCGAATATGTTCAATCTAAAAACCAGGCAGTTTCCCCCATTTCCTTACCCTCCGCAAGCCATTTTCAAACATGGGCATTTTTTCCTTGGAAGGGCATGCTGAGCTGGGTGCTGCTCTTGCGGTACTAAGATGGACATGATGGCAACGGGTGGAGGGGGGGAGAAGGTTGTCTGTGGCAAATGAGTCTTGCGGTTTTTGGTGTGGACCGTGGTATGTCTTGAAAGCATCTGGTAGCGCTGGACATGACTGCATGGATTTGAAGCCTTATATAGAGCTTTAAATCCATCTGCAGTTAGCATGGTTTGAAGTATAAGTGGGTAGAGCATGAACATATGTAAGGAGAGGAGGGATAAGCGAGAGCCGCTGCATCTCCTGCAGCGCGTGGAGCTTGGCTGGTGTTCTTGGGTGGGAGCAAGGATAGCCAGAGGGATGGCTTGTAGAAAGAAAAGACTGGTCCACGTGCACCCTGCAGGCCTAGTCCTTCTGACCTTCTTGCTCTTTCCCCTGCAGACACCATGAGGCGAGTGGTACGACAGAGCAAATTTCGGCACGTGTTTGGCCAAGCCGTGAAAAATGACCAGTGTTATGACGACATCCGGGTTTCCCGCGTCACCTGGGATAGCTCTTTCTGTGCGGTCAACCCCAAGTTCGTGGCGCTCATCGTCGAAGCCAGCGGCGGCGGAGCCTTCCTGGTGCTGCCCCTGCACAAGGTAAGTGCAGTGGGAAGGGGCTGGCTGGGGTCGTCTCAGCCTCGTTTATGGATGGGACGGGGCTAGAGGAACCCCTGCTGCTTCACAGCTGGGTTTGTGAGTGGTAAATGCTAGGTGGAGTCGAGCATGCCTCTGGAATCGCTCCAGTGCTGCCTTTAAATAGAACGCAGTACGAGAATGGCTCGTTTTGCTAATTTGGACCAGCTCTGCATGGAAAAAGCTCCTAATTAGAATGATGTGCTCCCTGTTCGCAAGAGCAACGGTCTGTCTTTTTGCACTGGCAGGCTTTAGCTTTCCAAGCCATCCCCTAGTACCCTGCCGGCCCCAAGTGCTTTGTCCCATTCAGACTGCCTGCATTTGACTAGCTTCGGGGCAGGGTGGCAAGGACGAGAATTGATACTGAGGGAGCGGAGGCTGTAGGATTGCCGGAGGCCCTGTTACCACTGCCGGCAGGAGAGTTTCAGCCTCCAGTCTGGCCCTTGAGGTGAGATAGTTTAGTTGGGGATGCTCCTACCCTGAGCAGTGGGTTGGTCTGTGGGTCCCGTCTCACTGGTGCAGGTACAGCACCAAAATAATGTGCGTGAGCAGATGGGTCCTGCAGCCCTTTCGCAACTCTCCTGCTTTTCCCTCGGAGTGTGTGAGAATGCCTGTGCAGGCTGTCTTGCTGCCCCTCAGCCAGGGTCTGTCTGTCCTCCATGCTAGGCATGTGGTAGGTGAGGCTGTCCCTACCCATCTGATGGGGAGGCATGCTTTGATATCCTCGGCCAGGCACGAGGCAGCGGTATCGTAATAACTGCCTGCCTAGACAATCCACTCATTCCTGTCTTAGGCCTTGCATTCGTCTTATTTATGTAACCCCATAAAGCTGTACAGCCTCTTTCTATAGAAACGCTTAGTCTGCATCCAGAGGAAATGCAGACACAAGAACGCAAAGGGAGATTGTAGCTGGGAGGCATCATAACAATCTTTGCAATTATGGCATGGAAACATATGACGCTTGTCTCAGAGGCAGCAAATTGAAGTTTGTTCCCCAGGCATCGCTTTAAAGGTTCACAAAATATCTCTGTTTTTTTTAATTTTTTTCCTCTTGCCTGAGAGGTGGGGGGGGAAAAAAGCATTCAGCTCTTTCCTTTTGATGCCTTGACTTTTTATCACAGCCAGTTGATAAGTCTCACAATACCAATTACAGCTCTTTGAAAGGAGTTTAGACAACTCGATCCCTTTGTGTGATATCTGTTTAAAGAAAAAATGGGGGGGGAGGTTGGGAAAAAAAGCCCTGAATACATAGTTTGGCTCCAGTGACTCTCATTTCTCTTAGAAAGAGACTCTAGTATTTTGGAAGAAGTCTAAGATTATAATCTCACAGGAGAATATGTTGTTCCAGGATGACTGAGAATCTGAGGGCCCGGAACAGAATGAGAATATCCTGGTCTCCAAGAGTGCGTATGGGAGGGAGAGCGGAGAGGTTAGCAGGGGGTTATCTCTCTAAAATTATAACTCTAGCTCCAGGCAGATATTTGAAAGAGTAATAGAGGTAGCTGCAGCTGATCCAAGTCCTGCGGTCCGTCTGGCTACTGCCGCTTGTCAGAACCTAATGGCTGATGCAAGGATTTCCGTGCTTACAGAGGGACTGGCCATGTCAGCAGTTAGTGGTTGGCTTATACCACAAAGCAAGAGAGTTTTTTAGTCTTTCTGAAAACAAAACACAAACAAAACGGTGTAGGGTGTGCATGTGTGTGTATACAGTCCTTGGCAATCCCATGCTGCAAGGTCGGCAGTGCCTGGAAGTGGAGACTTCCATCTGCGAGCTGTGTGTCATGTAGGACTTGCCACATTTGCCTTTCCAGTATTATAAAAAAAAATAATAATTAGGGTTTGAAGGGGTCTCAGGAAGTCCCTTCTAGTCCAGTTTCACGGGCCGTTCTGCAGTTCGTGTACTATGAATGCTGTAACACCTGGGTGCTTCTGTACCTCTGCTGCAACCTTCATTGTTTTTTTGGGGGGAGGGTTGCGTTTATGTCTCTGTTGTGACCCTCCTTTTGCTTCGCTCTAATCTAATGGCTCCACCGTCTTCAGCCTCTTCTCTCGGGTCAGTCCTGGCTTCTCATAGTTTTCTTTGCCCATTTCTGGGACTCCACCTCTTTTTGGCACATCTCTGGGGAGAGGGTCACCAGAGTCGCACTGATTATCCAGGTGGAGGGTCCATCGTTGGTACCCAGGGCTGGAACTGATGTCTTGGGTTGTGAAATCCTGTCCCCCGTTATCCCGGGCAGCACATGGTAGAATCCCTCTCATTTAAAAAAAACAAAAAAACAAAAAATCAAACTGTGGCTTGAAACTTGTTGGGTTTATTGCCTCTGCTGTGACTGGCAGGATGTCCCAGAACTTCTCCCCTCCTGGGTAGAAGCGCTCTTAGAGTCTCCATGCTAAATTTATTCCTGGCCAGTTTCTGCCCAAACGTTTGTTCATGTGCCAGGGCCGCCCTTTGCCTCAGATAGCCTGTCTACTCATGTACTTCGAGAGCAATCCTATCCCCTCCAGCCTTTGTTCTGCTACTCTAAACAAGCTGTCTCCTCTCAGGAAGTTGGCACTCCGCTCTCCAGGTCATCCTTGTAGCCCTTTCTCCGCTCCTGTCCCAGCTTGAATTCGCTTTTCCTGTGCCTGGTGCTCCAGGGGAGCTCTCACTGGCGCCTTGGGTGGTTGCATCCACGCTCGCCTGTCTGCTAGAAACACCTCCCTGGTGCATCCTTTTCCCCGGCGTTAATAGCTTTGTCCACTCATTGCTTGTCCACTAATGCACCCAGGTGTGTCTTCGGTCCCCGTCATTCCCTCCTGGAGATGGATGGTGGAAGCTCTGCCCAGTGACCTTCCTGCAGCCTGGCACGTCAGATGACTACGTACGCAGCCCTATTTGCCCTTTTAGCCAGCTCCGTCCCTTTGCTAGTTCCATGCATTTGCCTCGCGACCTCTCTAATATCCTCTCTTTTCTTCTTTCCACATCCTAATGTCTCATTTTCCTGAGTGCCGTGGCCTGCTGAGCAGGGGGCTTCATGGAGCTGTTCACAGCAGTCTTGCAGTTGTATCCTAGCTGTCCTGTTCGCTTCCAAGCGGGATGAATTTAAATGTCGCTGTTCTAACGAGTCAGACCAGGAAGCAGCCCTTGGTGCAATTCCAGGGAGCAGCCGGGGACAGCCGAGAGCACCCCTGTCTCAATGTCATTGCACCGTAACAATTCAGATTCAGCACTTAGCATGCGGGCCGCTGCGCAGTTCTTTTCATGTTGCTTGACTCTCAGACAGGGTTAGGTTGTATAATTTGGAAAGGAAACAGAGCTGAGTTCCCTACATTTGTGTTTCCCTTTGCATTTCTTGAGTTTAGTCAGGGAGGTTTTTTTTGCCCCCCGTGGTGGGGTCAGTATTTGGCTCTACTCGAGTGGTTACCTGCAGTTGAATGTGGACATTAGCACAGTGGTCAGGGTGGAGGGCGAAAGCGTGTTTGGAGCTGAGGCCTGGGTGGTTAGCTGGGAGGGCAGGACCTTGCTTTATCAAGGCATCTTTCTAGCAGTGGCATAGAGGAAGGGAAAGGGTTTGGATCTCCTCCTTCATCCCGCAGCATTTCTGTAGGTTGCTCTCACCTGACGGGCTGCATGAAAGAGCCGAGCTGCTGCAAGCGGGCGCTGTTTTTCTCTGATTCAGAAGTGAGCAGGTTTCCGGCCCCTCCTCTCCCTCTGGGGCTCTGAATAGTTAGGAGCAAAGCTGCCTCCACACCTCCCCATGTGCAGAAGGTAGCTCGGGAGGCCGACGCCAAGCTGACTCACCCAGGCCAGTCTGGGAGAGCTCGACTCCGGCAGCACCATGTGGAAAGCACCTGGAAGTGTTGCCCCTGCATGCATCATTTTGGTTTACACTAGCTTCTCCAGGATCTGGATTGTGCTGGCTACCACCAGCACAGGGCTCTTGCTGCCTGGCTTTACTCCTTGCTTTTCCAGGCAGGGGCTGAGGACTGAGGTCTCTGTGCACAAGCATGCCAGCTAGCACACCTGAGCAAGTGGAGGAAGAGTGTCACTAGGGGAGAGGCTGGGCTGGAGAGGGATGTGGCTGAAGATGGGCATCATAACCCCTGTGGAAGACCTTCACCCACACACTTGCAGCCAGACGCATGCAGCTATGTTTGAGCAAGGTGTTTTAGAGATGTTTCTGCTATTCTTTGCCTTTCTAAGGGTTGTGCCAAGCTACCTAGGTGGAATATTCTCCCAGTTTGGTCCCGCGGATGTGTTTCTGTCTCTGGCTTCTGACAAAGTCACCTTTGCAAGCCCATTTCAAATTTTTTGAGTCTTCTGACTTATGCTCTGGGGGCGGGGAGCAGAGGAGCCTGCAAAACGCCTCTCTCCCAGCCATTTGGGTTTGGGTAGAGCTTGTTCAGGGCATTCAGGGCCAAAGCTAGATGCCAGCACCTCATCCGAAGATCCAGTCTCATGCGCTGGGGGATGAGCGGGAGCATGAATCGTCCCTGGTGGAAGAGCAGATGCTGATTTGGTCTTGGCTGTAGGGGGTGGGAAGGATGGAAGATCTAAGCAGCAGCATGTGTAGCTTTTCTGCTTATGACTAGATGCAAGGATTTTGCCCTTAGAAACTAGTTCTCTCTTCCTTCAGCTGCCCCTGCTGGCAGATGGCTGTGGGATGGGCTCTCGCGTACTCGTGAGGTTGGACACATGTCTCTGGCACCCGTGCCTCCGTCTGCAGCAGGTGGGACCTCACCTGGAAAGGTTCAGAGTGGGATGATAATGATTCACCTGCTCCAGGTGCCTTAGGTCAAATCCTTGTGGGGTCAGCTCCATCTGCTGGCTTTCTGGGCTGAACGTGGATTTGAACTGCTCCAGCGCGCTCGGTTCGGTCAGAAAGGGCCCCGATGCTCTCTGCAAGAGATGGGGCTCGCTCCAGCAGGCACGGGCTTTGCCCTGGCCCTTGTGTGCCAGCCGCGCGTTCCTTGCTAGCGTCTGT